CCCCAAAACCCCAAAACCCCAAAACCCCAAAACCCCTGAGAGGCTTTTATTTGTTGAAAGTATAGCTGTTATTACCCAATTCTATCTGTGTTGGAAAGGATGTTGAACTGCCTCCCCTTTGTCTCCCCCAATATGATATTTTCCTTCCTTTTCTGGTTCTGAGGAGGTATGAGAGGAGTGAAAATGCTGGTAAACGTGCTTCTAAAGTTCTCAGGATTAACTCTCTTTGTCTTCCAATGATGATCTAAATCTACAGATTTCTTCGTATGAGGGTCGTTCAAATGATCACTTTCATATGAAATATCTCTCCTATTATATCAACTTTCAAAATTACTTAACAAGGTTTGACAATCTAGCCTTGGCTCTTCTAGCTTTGAGTTTCTCCAATGACTCTCTCTGGGTCTTAATCTGTTTGTAAACTTCATTGACTGGGGTCTCTATGCTGTCGATCCCTACAATGCCATGTTTCCAGTTAGTCTTAAGAAGCCTGTTACGCTTTCTTAGGAAATTATTCTCGGTTTTCATCCTTTGGCCCTTATCTATCGATTCCTTGAGCTTTTGCATGTTGTCTAATTGTCTTTTATGAGATTTTATTTCAAGATCGTCTTTTAAAGGATCTGCTGCAGGCAATTTAGTGTGAAAATTGTTGTAGTAAGTTCTTGTTTTACTCGAAGATTCTATAAAAAGTTATAAGGCCTGGATATAACGGGTTGGCTTACTTTTGTGAGAGGGCTGGGTTATTAAGATCAATGAAGAAGGACCATCGTATTGGTCTACATATCTTCCCTGCTTTTGCATGTCTCTTGGAAGACTTACAAATGCTGGATCAGGTCTTATATATTTAGGCTAATATTTACCTAATGTTATGATATTTCTCTCTTCTATGCTTCATTTTTGGATTGAAGGAATTTTTGGTGGTAACTGCAGTTGGTCTTACAACTAAAATAGTAAAGTAACTAATAAATTCAAGTGAGGAAAACATTAAACAGACAATTTTACATGCTTAAGACTACTCTAATATCTCCTACCTCCATGCGTAACTCCTGAGTAGCCAAATTGGACGAATTGGTCCAAATGTTGGGCGTCAAAAGTAGTTCCCTTTAGCTTAAAATTGGCTGTATCTTTGAACACCTTAGATCTCTTAAATTTCGGCTCCATAATGGAATGAAAGAATATTATTTTAAAATATGTCCAATAAAATAAAATATATGGGGTTTTGGGGTTTTGGGGTTTTGGGGTTTTGGGGTTTTGGGG